CCCCTGGGCACGGCGCGGGTGGCGCTCCCCACCGCCCCAGCAAGTGTCGGTAGGGTCTGAGCTTGACCCCTAAAAGCACCCGAAGGGCTTCGGGGCGCAGCCGCCGGGAGCATCCTTCAAAGCGGACGGAAGAAAGTGCGAGGGGTCAGCGGTGCCAAAAGCAAGAGGCAGACGAGTAATGGGGTAATTAGCGTAAGAGGCTTTGCTGGTTGTATGTAAAGCCCTTAATAATTCAGGCTGTTGCCTTTCCCCCTCCATCCCTGCCACGCTGCAAAGAGGAGCTGTGCCTGAGCACCCAGGGGTGCGGACACCCAGGGCTCGGACGCCGTCTGCCCCAGGGGGTTTCTCCTGGCAGCATCCCTGGGAGGGTGCGATGATGATGAGGAGGCACCCGTGGCGGACGAGCCTCCTCCTCCACAGCATCCGCAGCGGGATCCCAAGCTGTAACTTCGCCAGCTGCCACCCTCTGGAGCACCCTCCAGGCAGCCGGGATGGGGCCGGAGGGAGGACGGTGGCCCCCGCAACGATGCTCCAGGTTGGAAATGTGTGCGAGTGCTGCTCGGCTGCCAAGCATTAAAGGTACCAGGTGCTTAAAGCCCTGAGAACCTGCAGGCTCGGCCCTCCTGCGCCGTCCCTGTTGATCTCTCGGGGTAAAGCATCCTTCTGCTCAGGCCAGCGTACGCCTGCCCGTGCCTTTTGTGGGACTGAATTCCTGTCGCAACCCTGGCCCGGGACGCCGGAGATGTGTCCACAACCTGACTGTGCGGGAGAGGAGTTCCCATTTCTTTTATCCTCATTACCTCTCTTATAAAAGCTTTAGGCACAATAAAATCCATAATTGTAGCAACTCTGCCCGAGCACCGCCTGTGCTTCCAGGCCTGCTGGTGTTGATATCTGCGCCGACAGAAACCAGAGCCCAAAGTTGTGAGTTTTATGAAGAGAGGGGCGGCTTAGAAATGAGAAATGAAACCATCTGAGCCCTGAGAGGGGGCCGCGGGGCGGCACAGTGCCTGGGGTCTGTCGTGAAGGCGGCAATGCCGTTTCTCTCTTACCACGTGAAAATCAACACCAAAGCACCCAATTTTCCTGCATCCCGCAGGAACCCAGTGGGCTGGGGAATCCCGTCCCCATGTCCCCATCCGCCGGGAGCCGTGGGGGCAGCCAGCAGTCACCATGGTGACAAGTGTCAATGGTGGCGTTTTGCCACCGAGCGTGGTGACCCTGTTTTCTTTTCAGAGGAGCGACTCCGGGGCCGGCTGCCAGCAGCGTGCGGGGTCCGGCGCGGGGAACTCCACCTCCCTGGGTCTGCAGCAAAGACTTTGGCCCCGTTGCCCAGGGGCGGGCTGTGATCCCGCTGCCCTTGGCACTTAGACCTTGCACTGCGGGCAGTTTGCTGGGCTGTAAACAAGCCGCCCTGAGAAGGTGGCTCTGAAAACCTCAGCGGCTGCCCCAAGGACCACGCACTCTGCAGGTAAGCTGCTGAAAAACCTGTGTTTCTGTTATTTATTGACCAGCTGGGCAGATACCCCCTTGGCTGGTGCTGCAGGGGCAGCCCCGGGCGAGTCCCCAGGGCTGCAGGTAGAAGAGATGGCCCTGGTTCCTGCTGGCCGTGGGTTAGCAAACCGCAGCAGATGGGAAGCAGCGTGGCTCTCCTGCTGCCTTCGGTGCTCCGCCGTCCCCATGACTCATCCCTCCATCCCAGCAAATGTCAGTCCCGCTGCGGGCAGCCTTTCGCAGCAGAGATGCTGTGCTTCACCTTGTCCAAATAAAACTATGGGCTGGAATTTACTCACGCTGCCCAGAACCGGGTCTGGCGTGCTTCTGGCATCCTTCCCCCTACCCACACGCTGGCAGCTGAGCGTCCAGGGATGTGACCCAGGCTGAGGTCGCCTGCCCCGTTGTACCCCCAGCCCTTCCTCGAATTGGTCCTTGGCTGCTCTCTGCCCAGACGGTGACCACAGGGCTTTTGCCAGGCTGCAAGGCAGGAAAGCTCCATGGAGGGGGAAGAGCCAGGGGACCAATGGGGGGCTGCAGACCCTCCTTGCAGCTGGCATTTCACAGAATCCCAGAATGGCAGGGGTTGGAAGGGCCCTCCGGAGACCACCTAGTCCCAACCCAGTCCAAACCAGGCAGGGTTTGAATACCTCCAGAGAAGGAGACTCCACAGCCCCCCTGGGCAGCCTGGGCCAGGGCTCGGGCACCCTCCAAGTAAAACAAACAGCGGTTACAAACTGCGGTTTTCCCAGCCGGTGCCATTGGGGTGGTGGCACAGCCGCCCTCACGTGCAGGCAGCCCCGAGGGCAACAGCGGCGCGAGGAGCCGTCCTTGCATTTATCGCATCTGGCGTTGCTCCCTGGAAAACACCCGTTGCTTCTCATTTCCTTTATCCATGCCCACCTCTTCTGTCTCCAGCCCCTGCCAGGGGCCGGGGAGAACTAGGAGAGCCATGGAGTGGGATTGGGGAGAACTAGGAGAGCCATGGAGCGGGGCTGGGGAGAATTAGGAGAGCCATGGAGTGGGGCTGGGGAGAATTAGGAGAGCCATGGAGCGGAGCTGGGTCACTGGGCATGGAGGGTGCAGGCTGTCCCATGGGAGATGCTGGGAGTGGGGGGGGGCACCCACCTCTCCCCAGCTGCTTGCCCTCAGCGTGCTGGCTGCTGGAAGGGAGAAAGGGGAGGATGCCAATGGCCGTGCCGCTCTGCCCTGCGCTGCCGCAGGGCATGAAGCAACCGCGGCTCTTTCTGCCAGGCAGTTACCGCTCACTGGCCACAGCGTGCCCAAGGGGAGAGCCAGGGACGCTGCTGAGAGCAATGGAGAAACGTTCCCCTGCCGCCGTGGCAAACTACACCCCCATGATTTCAGTGCCTGGTTCAGGTGTTGGAGAGGACTTGGGGGGCTTTACAAGAAATGCACACAAATGCACCAAGGGCAGCTCAGCCCCTTCCCTGAAGCTCCAGCCTCAGAGCCGAGGCCAGGTCGGGTCTGGCAGGAGCTGATGCCCTCCCTCCCGGGAAGCCCTGGCTTCTCCAAGCAGCTCCCCGGTGCTGCCCTTCAGGCGTTTTCCCCCGCAGAGAGCCAGAGCCATGCGTGTGGCCATCATCGGGGCCGGCGTCATCGGCCTCTCCACCGCCCTGTGCATCCATGAGCAGTACCACAGCCTGGTGCCCTCCCTGGAGCTGGAGGTCTACGCAGACCACTACACGCCCCACACCACCAGCGACGGGGCGGCCGGCTTGTGGCAGCCCTACCTGAGCGACCACGGCAACCTGCAGGAGACGTACGTGAGGAGGAGGAGGAGGAGGAGGCTGGTGCCATGATGTCGTGTCCCCCCCCCAGGCTTGCCCATGGGTGCACAAGGGGCTGAGCTCTGTGGGGCTGAGCTCTGTGGGGCTGGCAGAGCCACCGCTCTCCTGTTTTCATTGCAGGCTCTGGAATAAAGAGACGTTCGATTACCTCCTCGGGCACCTGGGCTCACCGGCAGCGAAGGAAATGGGACTTTTCCTAATTTCTGGCTACAACCTGTTTACGCAGCCGGTGCCGGTAAGGAGCAAGTCACAGCCAGGGCTGGGAAGGGCTCCAGCTCGGAGGCTGCCCGGGGGCAGGCAGGGTTGTACGTCTTCCCAGACAATGCTCTGAATGCTTCTGAATCCTTCCAAGTTTGTCTTGTGACAGTTTTCCTGGGACTCGCTGTTTTCTGTGCCCCTGATGCAGTATTGGTACGAAGTAAGGGCTCAGCCCTCTGGCTGTGGCATGCCTGCACCCCTTTGGGGTGGGCTGAGTGGTCAGGGTGTGTGTCCCCTGCTGCCTCCCTCCCACGGCAGGCATGGCAATTCGGGGTCGTTAGTGAGCTTGGACCTTTTTCCCTCTTGCAGGACCCATCTTGGAAGAACATTGTCCTGGGATTCAGGAACTTGACACCAAAAGAGCTTGAGCTCTTCCCTGGCTACAGGTATTTTCCAGTCTGTTTTCCAGAGACTCACCGATGTGCTTCCCCCCCGGCAGGACAGGTATGGCTGGAGGGTCCCAGGCGCCTCCACGTCAAGGGGCGGCGAGGACGAGAAACCACAGGCGCAGAAGTGGCCTTGCTTTGTTACAGCTGCTTCCCTTAAAATAAGTAGGAAACACCTCAAGCAAGCCCAAAAAAGCAGCAGCCCAGCATGGAAACCATGCCAGGTCCTCTCTTACTTCACCAGATAGTGTCAAACTGGGGGAAGAAAATCAGCAGAAGGTGTTTTGTGCTGTAAGCAGAGGGGAAAAAACCCACGCGCTTGTGCAAGGGGGATTTGGGGTCCCAGAGCTGCAGCGGCCGTTGGGAACACCGAGGCGGGAGGCGGCTGCTCCTGTAAAGCTGCTCCGGATCCTTATGGCTTCCTCTCCTCGTCTGGTTTCAGCTACGGCTGGTTCAACACGGCGCTGATTCTGGAGTGCAGGAGCTATCTGCCATGGCTCAGCACCCGGTGAGTGCGGAGCCGCCACGGCGCTGGCGCTGGGGCTGGGGCTGGGGCTGTGCCGGTGCGGGATGGCTGCTGCTCCCCCTGAATCCTCTGGTCGGTGGGATGTGGGAGGCGGGTGTGGATTTCCATCCTGCACGTCAGGTGCTGCCCCGGACCCTTCTCTCATGCCAGGTTGGTGGCTGAGTTTAGGCAGCACTGATTTTAGGTGGCTGCCCCGTATCCGGCTGCATCTCCTGACCTGCTCAGCCTGAAAATGCCAGTGCTGGGGGCTTCCACGTGCCAGCACCCACAGGGGACCTGAGCACCCTCCCCTGCTCTCCGCAAGCCTCACCCCATGCCTCACAGCAGCGCAGGGGTGAGGGCATGGCGGGATGAGCTGAAGGAGAGGGGAGGCAGGGATGCATCCCTGGGGAGTGGGGAAAAGGGTCTGGAATCCTGGCTCATTGCCCCAGGGGGGTAACAGACCCCCCATTGTATTTTTGCATGATAAAAATCCAAGTAATGGGATACTTAGAGCTGCATCTGAGCACGTTGCAGCTTTTAGCCATGGGAGTACTGGGGGCTTGGGTTTGTTTTTGTAGTTTCTAACATGGAGCGGGTGCCCTAACCGCAGCAGAAGACCTGGGCTCTGCTGCAGGGCTCAGCAGGACAGATCGGCTCGGTAGCTCTGGGCCGTTAGGGGAATGCGCTAATGACTGGAGCCATTTAGGAACCGCCAAGAAGACCCCAGCTGTTTATGACAGGGAGCAACAAGCCATACCTGCTCTGGGTATCAATTACCGGTGCTAATTTGAACAGTACATTTGCTTTTAATTTGCTGGTAACAAATGAACTCGTTCTTCCCAGGTTAACGCAGAGAGGAGTGAAGTTTTTCCATAAGAAGGTTGAATCCTTCCAGGAGGTGAGTGGCGATGTTGAGCCGGGGCAGCGGGCACAGCCCCATCCTGGTGAGGAGAAGCAGCGTCCAGCAGGCACGTGCTGCTCCGGGATGTCCCTGCCATGGGGGTGATGGGCCAGGGAACAGCAGCAAGACTATGCCACGACCCAGGAAACAAATTCTACCGGGAAAGATAAAGGCTCTTGGGCATCAAGAGGTGGCTGAGAGGGGACAGAGCAGTGCATTTGGCCGGCACTGAGCAGAGATGCAGCCAACCATCAGCATGGCTTTCCCCTTAAACTGCAAGTGCTCTCCTTGCTTGCATACTTGGGGTCTCTGCGGGAGCCGTGCTGGGGAAGCTACGCCCTGGAGCTGGCCCTTATGGTTTATTCATGACCAGACTGTTGGACCGAGTGCCCGGCTTGGCTCCGATGCAGGAATCTCGTGCCCGCCGTGGGTAGCATCCTCGGGAGCATCCCTGCTCACCGCGCCGCATCTGTCTCTCATTAGATGTTTGCCCAGGGCGTGGATGTTGTCATCAACTGCACCGGGGTGCGTGCGGGGGAGCTGCAGCCCGACCCGGAGCTACAGCCCGGCCGTGGGCAGGTCATAAAGGTGAGGTGGGCGCAGGTCTTGTGTCCCCCCTCTTTTATCCAGAGGAGCCATTCATTAGCCACCTTATGAGATAAGTCCCCTGGGGCAAATTGAGGGCTTGTGGGCTGGACCCACGCTGGCATCAGGTCCTGATGCCCAGCAAACGATGGTCATATAAAACCCTCATGTGGGGTGGGGGGCAGAGCAGAAATCCTGGCTCCCGTTCAGCCGTGGGGATGCCCCGAGTCTCCAGACCCTTTCTTGGTCGGGTGAAGGTGGGGGGAGGCCAGAGGCATACCGCTGGTAATAAACCCACATAAAATCCTTGGGAGAAGAGGAAGATTATTTGGGGAAACGCAGATTCACGTGAGGTAGGAAGCTCCTCTGTTTGCCTACCTGCCCTCCCATCTCCCTGCCTTCCCATG